CTTTGGGGGGTGGCTCCCAAACGAAACACGTTGGACCCTCGGTTTATTTGGAAAAAGTGCTTGTTTTGATGCCCTCTACAACCCGATTTTTTTTTTTCGAACGGTCGTGTAACACCCTGTATATAATGGTAATGGGAACGTTCACATGCCATTTTATATTCAAAGTTTTAAATACTGTACGTGTACTCAAAAAAAAAGCACGCCAGCCAGGGAAACAGCTGTCAGGCAAGTTCTGTAAGTCATGTACCTATAGGTAATAATTCATCATTTTAAATAAGGTGCACACGACTGCGGATGGATACGCAACATAAGTGCGAAAGACCAAAACGACGTTGATATGATAAAGTGTTCCGTCGTGTCAGTAACTTGCAGGGTATTTATATTTTCCTTTATGACAAATGATATTCATCCTTTTAATTCGTCTGTGACAATGAAACGCACGGATCATCTAATGTGATGTATCGTCACTCTTAACAACCTGTCAGTTAGCGCATAATTTATTTAATTAGAAATATACGCGTAGATTCATTTTCGAACAAGAAGTTAAATAAACCCCAACGAGGCCTGTAATTAAATCACATGAGATTTTGTTGTAATCATAAGTGACATGACACCCATAACAACTTAATGAGCTTGATCAGTGCGTTTATTTGAGTTCATACACCTTATTTAGTTGAGTGTAGGGTTGCGACGCACATTTCTGCCCCAAGCGGAACCTTTGATCTCTCCAATTTCAGTGTCCATAGTTACATGCACCATCACGATTAATTTAACTGGATTGTGTCTAGGTGCATCAACTTCTTTTAACAACCCCATTGAGGTTAACAATAATAACCTTCGAGGAACAGGTAGTAAATGAGATGTGAGTGGCAAGTCAAACAATTATACCTGATGTATGTGCAACGTCATAAAAGGACCTGCACAAAATATTTTTGCGATAAAACCGCGACTGCAATCATTTTGAGATTAGGGCATAATTAATCTTCACGAGAAGTAGGTACCTATATCATTGCACAACACAAAACACTACACGGGAACAAAAAATATTGTACCAATATTTCACGGCTAATTAAAATAAGCATAGTGATGACATTGTAATTTTCAAACGTTGTGAATCAATGTCAAAAACTCCTCGTTTTTTAAACGACGCCCAACTTCTGTTTCTTTTTAACAAGACGACATTCTAGCGAGCTGCATATGTCATATTCAAGTGCTACAGTTTTTCATTTTCGTCAGTTTCCTGCTCTTTGTCGCAAAAAACAAGACAAGTTGTCGTTTATCAAAGAAAGTGGATAGAAAAATATATGAACAAAATAAATAAACACTTTTAATTGCGTTTCGTTAGATTTGTCGCGTTAACTGCGTTATTTATTATTTGTTTCCTGCTAATTAATCTTCCAACTTAGGTTAAATAATTATAAAACATGCGCTACAACCGAAAAATAGATTAAGTAAATGACAATAATAGGTAAAATGCACGCGAAATTAAAGTACACACAAACGGAAGTATAAATTCGCGAGAACATAATTTTTCGCGCATTTTTGCTAGTAAAACAATGACATTTTTTAGTATACAGGGCCATTAAACTTATGTCGGCACTTTTGCTAACTTGAGAGATATACAAGGTAGGTTAAATTAGAGAGCTGGGGTATTCACCTCAAAACTTTTCAAGTTGGTGGCACTATCAGAAATAAGTAGTAGGGACAGTCCGACCATCAAATAATAAGTAACATTTAAAAAACCCAACTTTTTAAATCTCGAAAACGATGAAATTGGTCATTTAATTTAAGGCGCCCTGTATGCAATAAATTAATTGTCAATATAGATTTCGAAAGTATCCTTTTTGTGCGTCCTGATGCAATCTACATCAAAAACTCTTAATTAAAAATAGGTAAAATTCCCATAACGCCACATTTTTCAAAATTTGAAAAAGAAATCAAAATAATTACAGTCGATAATATAATAGGCATCATTTATAGGAAAACCTGATGAAACTCATTAAATTTCCCCAGAAATCCAAAAATGAAATAATACATAAGGTTTAAAATAAGCAAAAATGCTATCGATTTTCCCTACAAATACATACATAAGAGTATAATAAGAGAAACTAACCATTTGAAGGACGATACTAATACAGATCATAATTCCTTTACCATAAAAGATACCTAGCAAAATTGTACACAATTATTGTCGCCATGTTTCTAAAATATTTTTGATCACCAGGGGCGCGCTCTATATTCCAGTGGCGTATCAGACTTACGTTTCTTTTTAATGGAACACTCCATATTTTATTGCAGATTTGAAAAGTACTCGAAAAATGCTGATTTTTTATGTAACATGTTATACCCACAAACAAAACCACACATTCCATAAGAAAATTTCCGAGAAAAAATGTTGAAACGCCAATTTGTAGCAAATATTTTAGAAAAATGGCATATGGCAACGGTATTTTTTATGGTCTTAAAAGGTACACCCTGTACACTTCGAAATTGCTAATGAAGAAGTATTGGAACAAATTAAAATAAATTATCAATCCTTTTTTCGAAGGAGTGCACGAGAAACGGGAATTTCTCACGAATCCTTATGGAAAGTAGGTATTTAAGAATCATTTCTTCTGTATAAAATGAAAATTTGTAAAGTATATGTATTTGATGATGAATCTTTACCTGTAGGTACAAAGATTTAGGGTTTAATTAATGAAAAAAAGTTTGGTTTAGAGGCGAATGTTTTTGAAGATGTTCTGTAGCAGAAACTTCATTTACGTTAAAATGTAAAGTTTAAAAATACGCGGGTATTGCAAACTTGTTTTCTGTAGTAAAACCAGGCACTGGTCAAGTTAGGGGAATGGGAAATTGGGATTTTTAGATTGCAACGTATAGCACCATTACGAGCAAATGATATTTCCTCTAAAGCCAGGTTTAGGTAAGAATTGTTCAAATATTTAACTTATCTTTACTTGTAAAAGATTTTAGTTTGTAAAATCACTTTTATGGAAAAATAAAGCCAACTGGTCCTGCAATCTTCTTTAAACTACCCCACCTACCAAGCTACCGGTGCAGTTCTAAAATCTAAAATACAATCATCAAATAATTTCAGTTGTATTACATACGGTTTGACACCGTTATATATGACAATCCCAACAAATGCACCTAATTATGAAAAGTTGTTCGAAATAAAACACTATGTTTTAATAAGCAATAACAACAATAATATTTGTATCGATACCTAGGTATTGAAAACAAAAACATTCACGCAATTTTATGCAGTTGAACATTTGAAGTTTGACCGTAGTTTTTAGTTCTGAAGATCAACATTTTTCAATAATAAATTTCGATACTTATTGTCAAATGTACCTAAAGGTACTTTATTCTGAAGCAAAATTCAAATTTTTTGACAAACCGCATATGTATTATTTTGTATTTCAGATTTTAAAACATGCATTTATTATGTCTAATACTTATATACTTTATTCGAGATAACTAAACCCCTTGTAACTCAATATTTTTTTACTTTAAACAATTTATTATTTCATTTTATTGTTGAGCTCTCGCGTTCTTTTATAGGTAGGTAGCTATCCTACGAACATCTATTATTAGCAATATGTCCCCGTTTCTTCTTTAGTTTATTTTTTTATGGAAGACTTTCAATTGTCATACAAATCGGCCTACTTTGATTTTTTTTCATCAACACGAAAGTAAGATGTCTATATTTTAGTAACGGGCGATCAAAAATGAGTTGCTGTCCAGTCGCCTTTGGAAGTTAAAGTTAAATACGATTTTCCATGTAAACAAAAATTTCAAAGGCGACTCGACAGCAACTCATTTTTGGTCGCATAGTAGATACATATAACAAAAATGTATTTAAAAAAGTTGTTTCAGATTAAAAATTATGGCTGACTTTCAATCTTCATACAAATCAGCTTGATTTTTGTTACAAACATGAGTTCAAAAGCATTGGGCGCTGAAGAAACACGTGGCAACTTTAATTTTTCTTATGGGCGCCGTTTTGGATTTTGACATTTTGAGATTACGTCTTTTTTTCTCTTTACAACGATATATCACACATGGTGGTTCAGTATCACATTTTTCCTAAAATTACAATTTTCATTTTCTGCCAAGAGTGCTTTGCAAAAACAAAACGTTCTTTTGTTGTGAACAAAAGGTTGACTTATTTCAAGTAGTGTCATTTACGTTTGTGCTTGTGCTATTACGAAAATATTATTTATTCTTATGTAGGTATTTTGTTCTAATTTGAATTATAATTTACTTGCAAAACGTTCGATTCTGTTCAGATGAAACTCGAATGTTCTCAACACAACTAGTTCCCTGCCGACGCTGCAACCAGACAGATGGATCAAACTGTTCACAATAAAGGAACGTTTTGTTTTTCCAAAGCACTCTTCCCAAAAAATAAAAAATTATACTTTTAGGAACCACCATGTGTGATATATCGTTGTAAAGAAAAAAAAGACGTAATCTCACAATGTCCAAATTTAAAACGGCGCCCATAAGAAAAACTAAAGTTGCCACGTGTTTCTCCGTTATCTTAAGTTATTAAAAATGAAATGCCACATTCGAAATCTTAGTTAAAAAGTGTGTGAATAATGTGTTAATTAGAAATGTCTAGTCCTACGATTATAGTTTACCATGAAAACATTAAAAACGAAAATCTTTGAGACATTTTCAAAACTATTAAAGATATTTTAAATTTCTTGTCAGATTATTATTCAGTTCGAAAATTCGCAACTTTGCTCTCATTTATGTGATGGTTTTGTCCGTCTGTCTGTCCGTCTGTGCGTATAACTCGAGAATAAAAAGAGATAGCGATGTCTTCGGAAGTCGGATTAAAAAAAGTCTTACGAGCCGAGTGGCCCAAAATTCCACTGCTGAAAATCGTATGTGATTCTTCGTATCTTGTTAATCTGCTTACCTGTGTACATGACCAAGTAGGTGAATATATAAAATGCGACTTTAATTAGATCAAAAACTATATTTAGGTGTTCACAAAAGCTGCAGAAATTTACAAAGAGGTACAATTTTACAGTCACATGATGTTTGGCGAGAAGAGAAACGTGGAAGATTTGCATCAAATGAGTAAGTACATGTTACAGTGTAAAAAATAGTTAATAAATAATTTATTAAAAAAAACAGAATATCGTTAATACTCGTAGCGAGGCGATCATCAAATTAATACAGATGTGATATGCATATCAAATTGTTGGTAGTTCCCTACGTTTCTCAACGGCCAACCACCGTAACATCGTCGTAACTTACACACTAGCAAAATGATATTAGAAATAACAATATACATTAATACATATGTACATAAACACACATCCATGATATATAGGTGTAGATATATGGATACTGTCTCTGTCAGTTACCACCATTTACGATCCCATGTGTCATGCGTGTGTAGGTAGGTATAGCTCACTGGAGTCGGTATAATTAAATAGAGGTATGTATATTCAATACATATTTACACATGTTTTACATAAGCGCGGGGCGTTATTATTAAGATGTTTGTCCATTCACAATAATTTTATACAATTTTTTTCGAAAGTAGGTAATAGGGGCCTAGCCGCTAACGACCGTAGTTTGGATAAAGCAGCGTAGGTCCCCACCGACCTCAGACTAATCCCGGAGGTTTAACGTCTATGCTGGAAACTATATCCAAGCCTAAAGGTGCCGACGGAGGTGGCGTGTGGTTTATAGACGTTGGAGAATTAACGTTGTTTGTTAAATCGCTTTGACTATTCTCCTCCGAATCACTACAAGACTCCGAACTTCCTTTTTTGCCGTTTCCATTATGCGTCTTCACATGTTTGGCTAAATGATCCGATCGCATAAATCTTTTGTTACATACCGGACAAGCGAACCTCTTTTCCCCCGTATGCGTTCGAAGGTGTCGTTGCAGTTCGTCGGATCGCGTAAATCTTTTTCCGCAAAACAACCAATTGCACACGAACGGCCTTTCGCCCGTGTGCCACCTTAGATGAGCCTTTAAATGAGAAGTCTTTCCGTATACCTTTCCACAACCGGGAATGTGACAGCTGTGAATATTTTTTTTCCTTAAGTGTACACCTGCAGGTCCCAGTCTTTCGGCCTCTTGGCAGTTTGGACAATCACAAGTGGCACGCCCCGTATACCTTCTCTGAGATCTTGGAGATGGAACTTGTGGAGGCAAGCTTGCCGATGTGGAGGTAGGTGAGGGAGCCGATCCCGTATGATGGAGTCCAAACGAAGCACTTACAGTTTGGGCAGTGGGCAACATCGATTTATAAGTGTCTTGTAAAAGATGTTGACCAGAAGATAACAAATGATTAGAGGCTGCGAGCGAATGCGTTAATGACGAATAATCTGATGTGGCGTAATTGGCCGCCGCCATTTGAGCGTGCATTCCCGCGGCACCGCTCATGTCTAACCAACTACCGGCGGTCGCCGAATGCACGTCCCACCAAGTGTTCGCGGATCCTACCGAATCACTTTTTATGGCACCGTGATGTGACGCACTCGACATCGTATTAAAAGGCCAAGATTCGTAAGGGTGGCGGGAATAAACCGATCCGAGCGCGGCGTGATGAGCAGTCGCGGCACTTTCCACCTTCCCCAAAAGAGCATTCTGGTGGTGGTGGATGTGAGAGTTATCACCAACGTTCGATTGCGTAGTGGCACCTGGAAAATAGAGATCGCTTCCGTAAGACGAAGAGGTCGGGACGCTAGAACAGGAAGTCATCACAGGTCTAGAAGAGTAAGGACTACTGGAGGCCGATGATCTTTGCGCTGATAAAGAATTGGCAGCGGAGTTCCCCGTCGTTGCCTGATTGGGAGACGGTGCACTTTGCGGACTCTTTTTCCACGGGTGAAATCCTTTTCCGACCGCAGCGTCTGCAAGTGGTGGTGGAGATTTATTAGATAACTTGTTGCATTGTGCTGCCAACATGGCCAGCGGTGTTCCGCGTAGACTAGGGTGTTCCTGCAAGAAAAAGGTTCAACGTTAATTCGGTGTCTAATGATTGCTTTTCTTGGTACATATATTCTTGTGTTGTGTTTCGGCTTAACACCAAAAATAATGACGGGACATCCTGTATATGAGAATTATTTCAATTTATTAAGTAAATCTGGAGGATTATCTACGAAAAAGTTGCTTCCTTTCGTTTGAATTTATATTTCCGTATTTGTTTTTCCTTTTAGAATTGTTTGTAATTGCGTACCTTTCGTTTTAATTCTTTATTAAAATTTTATCGCTTTTGAAAATAATTCTATTTAGATAAGGTGTCAGCCCTAAGACTCACCTGGTCGTTTACGATAAGCAGTGTTTATCAGGCAAAAGTTAATTAATTTCAAAGAAATGCGCACGTGGTGCTGATAACGAAGACGCCAGATTAAGTTAATATCGGCGCACCAGTCAATATTAGTAAAGGAAAATGCATTGTTTGTCAACCACTGCAAATATTAATATTTTTTCATATTGAAAAATTTCAAGTAAACGGCCCTTATTCAGGTATCGAATAACTATTAAAGATTACAACATTTTAAAACTGAATGATTCTTTGAATTAACCATGTACCATACGAAATCACTATCATACCTATCTGGATTTGAATGCACCAGAATGACTCTTAAATTAAAACATTTTAATAGGGAAAATGGTTGATGCTGATTAAAATATCTGACCTTTATATAAGTAGGTACATAAGAGTCTTTTAAGTTCCATACTGCAGAACAAAATAAATAACTTTTAATTCTTTAGAAAAACTTTTGATTTGCTTATTAGCTTAATTGGATATGTAAGTTTTGAGAGAGTTTTCAAGGATATAGTAAACCGATCATTAAAAACATAGGTAGAGACCACTCCTACCGAGGTATCCAAAATTGAAAGACAAATGTTACCTGTGGAATCTGTAATATTTTTTGCTCCAATAAATTCATTATTTTTTCCTAATTATAGAAAACTATATAGTCAATATGTTTGATGAGAAGAAAATTGAAATAAATAGGAAAAACCGTTATTCAGTCTTGAAAACAAGTAGGCCGTGGAATATACGTGTAGTTCATATTTCAGGAAGGAAAATGCTCAAAATAAAAGTATTTTAATAGGATTTGCTCATTTATCTTGTTCAGTTTAAATGCTATAAATCTAAAAGCTAGTTTCTGTAATCTATTTAAATCAATCTAAAGTGAGCAAACCATAGACACAGGTTTCAGTCAGATTTGAGATCCTATTAAAATACTTTTATTTTGAGCGTTTCTTGAAATATGAACTACCAATACATTCCACGGCTTACTTGTATTTAATCCACCTTTTTAAGATTGAATAACGGTTTTCCCTGTTCATTTCAATTTTCTTCTGTCTTCTCTTCTCTGATAAGATAACTATGTATTTTTCTAATTAGAAAAAATAAGAAATTTATTGGTGCAAAAAATATTCTAGATTCACTTTGAGGAAAATACGCTAAAAACAAACCTCGGTGCTGTATCTTACATACTAAGCAGGCTATGGAACATATAAAAATATACAAGGAGGTAATATGATGACGACTTCCGTCGCGTGCTATGCTATTTCCCACCACACCGTTACATTCTATCCTTTTGTTATCACCCGCACGTGACAATTTATTGTACCTATACCTACCTATAGTAAAATTATTGTTAATAATTTGTTGGAAATTATAGGTACCTATATTCAGGGTGCCCATTATCACAGATTTAATTTAAATCTGTGCCATTATGTAAGTATGGAATATAGTATATATCTCGGTAAATATCGACTGTATATAAATTTTTTTATATGAGTTTTAACATTTTATTTCGAATAATAAGACAGCATTCCATTGTTTTTAATTCAGAAAACAAATGAATAACGAAGAACAATTGAATTTTTTTTAATAGCACTGCAACAAAACAACTGAATGCTGCCATATTATGGGAAATAAAATGTTAAAACAACTTTCATACAGAAAAATTTTGTATACATTCGATACTTACGGAGATATAATATACATATACCTACTATATTCCATACATAATATGCAACCCTGTATTATAATAGTTCTATGTTGCTCTCAATTCTACATCCAGTATAGTATGGTATATCTAATAATGGCTTTGTACTTATCGAATTAAAACAGAATTCTCTTAATTAAAAAATGGGATATAGGAACAAAGGTCATTTATTAATTTTACACACATAACCCCGAAGTGTCTCCCGCCAGAAACGAATTCTTTCGGTTTATACCTAATATGACGCCATATCGTTTACCTGCGACTATCGAGACATGCAGAATAGAGAAGTGTAGAGGTAGATAATTACAACAACAAGATGACCTTCAAAAAACAGCTTTGAGCTTAATTCCAACAGTAGTCAATTCAATTCCATTAGATACCAGACACTTATAACTCGCAGGCTCATAACTCAAGTGTGGGCCGTTGAGTGACACGTCGTGGTGGAATTAGATGATATAATACAAGACATCTCGGAGACGCCCTTTGGCTTTACGATTGGCGGTGGCGGTATCGATCTTTCGTTACATGTCAAGTGACGCTTCGTTTGGTTAGGTACTCCTTTTCACTACAGAATGTGAAACCGAGTAAAGCATGTTACAGTAGGTATAAGTCGAGCGCATATGACTAAAAGAAAGCGTGCTAGGGATTATTTTATGAAGGTCCCGGTATAATTTACTAAAAAGCAAAAGAACATAAAAGAGTCGTTAATATTTCCATTAACGCAAATCAAAGGAGTCTACGGTAAGAAAGAGCGATAAAGGTAACTACACATTTACACAATCGTGGTTTTGAACTTTCTATCCGAAAAAGAAGATCGTGCATGATGAAACGAAAAAAAAATCATCGTGAGTCGCCATCGGTAATATCAAAAGCGCCTACCTAAAATTTTGAAATGATGACTTTGGTTTTGGTCATTAGCTTAGTCAGAAGCAGACTGTTTATAATGATGGCTACTTTTAAGTTTTTAATTCTTTTGTGTAGTTGTGCGTGTCTTGGAGGCGACAAGCAGGCGCCAACATTTCATTATGGTCTTGATTAAAACAGAAACGAACCGACCTTTGCACGTTTCGCGCGGACGCTTCAGCGTTTCTAATGTAACAATTAAAATTAATGTCCCTCGGTGCCCAATTACTAGCGGTCGTCGTATTACTACGGCTCATTCTAATTAAAGATAGCCCATCGGTACGTACAGATAAATAAAATTGATATATAGGATTGGTGTTTCTGAGAAAAATTGAGGTTTGATGCGGTTCCAGTGAAGCAAGTTTAAATTAGAAGGAAGTAGGTACCTAAATTAGCCCATAACTTGTCAAGCTATATCAAATTGTGGTAGGAAGGTGCATTACATATAATTATGTGAGAATGCGAAATAGAATCGCGTTCTAGATTGATGTGTAGGCATCTACTATACTTAAATGATCATAAATTGAGTAGTAAGTCCTCGGAGACATTTGTGTGCGGGAGCCACAGCTGGTCAAAAGTATTTTACGGCTGATTTTAATGATTTTCTGGCCAAAACCACTAACCAAATTAAATCGTCCATTTATCGATCGCGTTGAACCATTACGCACTATACGACACGTTGACTTCCGGACTTTTGTATAACCAATGATGAATGTTTGAGTAGGTATGGCGTGAGGTCTATACAAGCATTTGTCATACTGACTGATTATTTATTTGAACAAACGACACAAGGGGTCGTATATTACTGGTAGGTAATTCATTTGCAATGCGCACCCACTATCGTATAGTCACCTACCCGACCACAACTATACTGCCAAACAAGGTACCTATACTGACATTACATTTACACAGATTCAAGTGACAATTAACAATTGTTAAAAGGATCAGTAATTGTGCTTTTCTAGCGAAAAGGACTCGAACAACATGTCAACACAATATCTGTTATTCGCTACCTGATGCTTGAAAAATACTACTAAGTACATGCTTATACATTTTACAAAGGGAATTTTGCTGCAACAATAGGATTAGGGAACAATTGGGTTGTTGAACTTGCCATTTGAAAGCCGATCGTTTCGTGCAGGTAAAGTGGCCATTTACACATTCTTCTGGGTTTATACCATTACCGCGCGATGAAATATTTACCGACTATACTTAATCCTAATACAATGAATGAGGTTTGTTTATGTAGACACCTCTATGTCTATAATGCGCAATTTTTCGAGCACGTACCCTATACCTATTTTAATGGAATAGTCGTTAGCACTCACGATATCTGACTGTCAACTGAAATTTGATAATTATGTAAATGAAACATTTCATATAGGTACATAAGTATAAGGTGTATCTAGACGTAATTAAATAATGGAACCGTAAGAAAATCCTATTGCAATTAATTATAGGAACCTACTTATTCGGTAGCAACTAAAGAACAATCAAGAGATTTCAGCCAAACGCCCGTTTATACCTATAGGTTTTGTTAAATCTTGTCTTTTTAAGCTACCGGTATTAACTTTTAAACATCAGAAACGTAGTAGAGTTAACGAGTTTGGGCCATAAACAAGATTGGGATTTAAGGTGAACAAATTTATATGTATGAATGGCCTAAGGACGTAGTTAACTTTGGATTTTTATAGACCCAACTGACAGCGGCTACTCTTCAAGAACGGTCACTTCCGAAACTAACTCCACGGGGAGCCATAATGTAGTCTCACTTTGTTACAGGGAATCGTAGCTCTTAGTAACCCCTCGCGATCTAGGTTTTCTGTATCCGGAAGGGACAATCTTTTCCCAAATCAAACATCATGTTTCATATTATATACCACACTGGGGATTTTATAGTGTGTGTCCATTGTATACCCACCATTTATTTAAATATCTACTCTGGATCTTACTTACATATCTCTAATACAAACTGTGATACATATACCTATAGGTAAACAATCCAGAGCACTTCGGTAACGTCGCATAAATTTATGCATGATGGAGAGACAGCCTACGGCCTATACC